CCCCTCATTTACCTTCCGTTCCCTCCCCCCCCCCCCTCTTCCCCTCTTTTGAGAGTCTACCAGGGCGGCCTCCCCGAAATGCGGGTCGATGACGCAGCCGCGGCATATGAATAACCAATCGATGATCCTCAAAGCCATTAATTAGCACAATCATTCATTAAGGGGTTTGAGGTTAAAATTGACATCGATTATTGTTCGTACAATACAATATAATTGGCTGCAGCTGTGGCTGCGCCATCGATCCGCACTTTGGGAGGCCGCCCTGGTTGAATCCTCTTTTGAAAAAGGAATGTATTGTCTCGATTGTCATCAGGTGAAATTATTATAAAGGAAACTAAGCTAAAAAAAAAATGATCCGGACGATCATATCGATACATATGGGGTGCGTCAAAACCAAACATGGTTTATGGCATTTTTTGCAAAAATGAGTTAACCACACGGTCATATAAAGTAGGCACTCTTCTAGATAATTTGATATTTAAAATATTGATTTACATAATAAAATTTTTGTCGATGCCTTCTTTTTTAAATCTCGTATATGATCTAAAATTAGAATTTAGAAATCCGATTGTCGATTCTTGCTGCAGTTAGTTATTGTTACACGAAATTTTAAACGCAATTTTCTATATATTCCTTTAATGTTAATACATGGACAGTAACCTAAAATCGCATTCTCACTTAAAGAAATGAAATTAGAAGCGATTCCAGTAATCGATATTTCATCATTTACTGATTCTAACAGCGTTTACGCAGAATCTGCCAGGCAAAAAGTAGCTCGAGAACTTGACATTGCATGTAGAGACGTCGGATTTTTTTATCTGAAAGGTCACAATGTACCACAAGATATGTGTGAGCTTGTTTTAAAGTTGGGATACGAATTTTTTCTTTTGCCTAATGAAGAAAAGAACAAATTAAGTATTGCCAACGAAGATTTTGCAAGGTAAGGTCTGATTATTATTATTATTTTAAAGACAAATGACTTTGAGTAATTTGATATAATTTACATAAGGGGATATCAAAGACTTGGTGAGAATGTTACAAGATATCTAAAAGACTGGCATGAGGTAGGTTGAAATTTTTATAAAATTTAGTTTTTATTTATTTTATTTTATTTTATTTTATTCTTATTTTTTTTTTATGTTTACAGGCAGTAGATTATTATAAGCCGGTTTCCCCTAATCATCCGTTGGTTATCAATAATCTTCCATTAAGAGGCAAAAACCAATGGCCAACAAATCCTTCAGAATTTCGTAGTGTGTTTGAACAATATATAGAACATATGAAATCATTAGGTGCTAAAGTTATGAGTGCTATTGCCATTGGCCTAGGATTGGAACATGATCATTTTGTAAAATTTATGGACGATTCATTCTGGTGGGTACATTCTCAATCTGGTTTATCGTTTAGGGAAACATCGATGTTTAATCATCCCTCGATCTCTTAACAGGGTGATGAGAGTAATTGGTTATCCACCTTTGAGTAATGCAAATGGTGTGGATCGTGTAAAACATAGTTGTGGTGAACATACTGGTAAGTTGTCTTATCATTACACATATAGTATTTAACGAAGATAATAGCACACATGAATATTGGAGTTATAGTATTGCCAATTAGTCAAAAGTTCCGAATATAGTACAATCTGATAATATTAAATTCTCAGAGTAATGAAACTGGTGCGAGATAACATTCGGAACCGAACTATACAATGAGTAGCATTAGTACCGTACAATCTCGGAATAACACCTGCGGGCATTATTTTGAACATTAGGACTTTCTAAAATAAAATATGTAGTTTCGAATTAATGCCCAGGTGCGTCTCGAATTAACGCGCATCCCTCTAAAAAAAAAATAAAAAGTGTACCGGAACTGGATTTGGTCCTAAGTAAACCTCCTTTTGCGCTCTAATAAAAGTGGTTCTTCGGAATGAAATAATTATAACGGTAGTATAAGCACTTTTCATTCCTTATTATACTTATTTTAATTAAGGGTTGTTTATACCTATATTTCGAAATAACGCACATGGGCGCACTCGAAATAACGCGCAGGTTGGCGTTATGCCGAGCTTGTACGGTAGGTAGGATTGTTAATGGAGTACTCCAAGCTATAATAAAACATATAAACCACTCCAGTTTTAAACTAGAGTGATTTATATGTTTTATTATAGCTTGGAGTACTCCATTAACAACCCTAACGGTAGGTGGTTTGTTTCTTGCTGAATAGAGTGCTGTATGGTAGAATCAGATAACTACTACTGCACGAAAAGTGAGAGTTCAGGTCGAGAATTTTTTAAGTCAGAAAAAAATAATTTTAAGGGTAATAAGGGATTTCAGAGTCGTATTCGTGTGTGTTCCGTATTGGTTTGGGTTCGAACTTCTCGATTTCAATACAATGAAATCTTACTAATTAAGTGATTTAATTGTTGAAAAAACTATTGGAATATAAAATAGATTATGGGTATGTCTTGCATATTTTATTCTCTTGAATTTTCATAAAAAGTTACGATAACTTATTTTCCTTTTACTGCAAAAAGATGCTTAACTTTTCTTAATATGGTATTTATAAAACAATTTACATTGTCTGTTCAGCATACGTAAATTATATTTGCTTAATGACTTTTCTAAAAGGATTCCACGAAAGGTGCACTCCAAGTTAAAACAAAAGGAGGAGATTGGATTAGCGTAGATCCTATACCTAATACTTTTGTTGTAAATATTGGTGATATGCTAAATGTAAGTTATTACTTATCACTCAAATATTTGTTTTTTTATTCTTTATTTTACTAATATTCATTCAAATTTAGATATGGACTAATGATTTATATAAAAGCACTTTACACAGAGTTATTCATAATAGTAGTAATTATAGGGTCTCGTGAGTACTTTTATCTGAAACAAAACCCTATTTTAAAATATTATAAACAACTCTTAACATAAATATTTATATATCATGACTAAAAAGAATTCCGTTCTTTTACGAGCCAAACTTTGATGCAAAGATTGAACCACTCGCAAAATGTCTGGAAGTTGATCCTATTAGTCATTATGAAGGTGTTGTGTATGGTGAACACTTGCTTAGCAAAGTATATTTCTGAAGTTTTAGCTATAGTTGGACATTTCATCCGTATACACATATTCACCTAATTGATTTTTGTTTTTTTTTACTAGGTATCTAACAATTTTGAAGTTACTAAGATAAATTGAGATTAGATATATTCTTTGTCGCGGCTTATGCTTGCGATTTTGGTTGAAGCTAAAACTAATGCACCTAATTGTTTAACATCGATCAATTTTTATTGATTAGTTTCAGCCTCGACCAAATATTAATTGCGAGTACGTGAAATTTTTTTTACTGTAAGAGTTTTTTTTTTTTCGGAATCTATTTTGTTATAATCATTATTAAGATAATAAAAATGAATATGGCTTAATAGCTTAAGTAGTTACAAATATTTGTGATTATGCAAAAAAAAAAAAAAAACGATTCATTAGGGCTACACTCAATGTCCGTCAAAAAATTCAAATCAAACATACGGCTTAAGATAAATTTAAGGGGTAAATAGATACAATAACACGTACGTACGTAGTATAAAATTTATACTACGTATGTACGTGTTATCGTTATTGTATCTATTTACCCCTTAAATCATCTTTATATGTACGTATGTTTGTTTGCTACAAAATTTGGGGTTCACTTTGCAGATAACTTTGAAATACAATTTCGCAAATCTGCTGATATGTACTGAATCTAATTAGTAGAAACCGTCTGTTGCATAAGAAAATGAATTTAGTCATCAAGTACATTATGAATATTTTCAGAATCTTACGATTTGTTAAGACTCATTTCATTCACCGGAACAAAGTGCATATTTTAATACCACCTTTTTTTTTTTAATGATTTTAAACGGTTTTACTAAATTACAAGTTATTCAGCTCACCCCAAAGAATAGAAATCTATTATATAATTTAATTACGATGTATCGGTATGATTTTTTAATGATTACTGGATTATAAATAAATAAGTACGTACTTATTTATCGTTAGGTTATACAAACCATACATTTTTGATACTCTTGAGTTATACAGGACTTAAAGAAATATAGCAAAATAGTATTTTTGTATAAAAAAGTATTTAAAACAACTACAGAACTAAGATAGATAGAATTCTTTAAAAAAAAAAAAAATAGGTTAAGATTTGAAAAATAAAAAACAAATTTTATAAAAAAAACTAACTTTTTTAAATTAAGTTTAAAATATAATTAGCAAAAGTATATTTAGAGTAGTTCAAAAAATACTATTTAAAAAATTTAATACAATAACCAACAAAAAAAATAAAAAAGTCTAAATTATTTTTTTATTTTTTATAATGTTTTTAACTTTATTAACATTCATACAAGAAAGAGATTATATTTGAACCTTATATTTAAAGAATATTAAGATTAAAGATTTAGATACAATATTAAGATTTGATATAATTATTTGCGGTCTAAACTTACTAAAGTAATTAAAGTTTATCTAAATTTGGAGTTAGAAGTAAATTATAATAGTTAAATCAATATTTAATCTATTTAAAATATTAGATTTTATAGAATCAAAAAAGTATATACAAAATTTTTTTTAGTCAACAATACCAGAAAACTAAACTACAGAAAAATACTATAGAAATATCCAAAATGGATACTATTCTTAATTTTATCTTTGAGTAGATTGTTTTCAATAAAACTAAACAGATATAATATATTAAGAAGCAAATATAACTTAGATAATTTGTTTTAAATCAAGTTTTCTTTTAGGTAAATTTTTCAAAATATTTAGCATTTAAACTAAAAAATTATTTTAAAAAACAAGTAGTAGTATAGCTTTTGCTAAGAGTATAGAAACTTGAAAAAATATTTATATAATTATAAAATTTACAAAAAAATCTCATATACTTTTATTAACTCTACTTAAATTTAAAAAAATTTAAGTAATTTAGTTTATCTTTTTTAAAGATTAATATATCTATTACTAAAATAGTTAATATTATTTATCTTCCAAATCAAATTAATAAATATTGGTAATATCTAATAATTAAATATAAATATGATCTGTAAACTTATAAAATTTTTTTAATTTTAAAAATAAGGTTATACCTTTAAATTTATTGAAATTTAATTAAGTTTTTTTTACAGAATACAAAAAAATTATATTTGAACCTCATATCCAGAGGATACTTAAGACTAAAAACTCAAATACAATATTATAATAATATAATTATCTGTGATCTACAGTAAGAATCAAAAGTATCCCCACCCCTGTAACTTTTTAAATAAAAAAGCTACAATCTTGAAACTTCTACAG